AAACCCGAATGATATCCTGTCTACGTGGTCACACCCGGTGATTGTTAAGACATTCAGACAATATGGCAGTCTGTATTCATTTCTTATATCCCAAAAGTCCCCACCAAGCTTCCTTTTATTAACATTGGGATGAGGGGAGATATACATATTGTATTAAATAATACATCAATACATCAAAACAGAACAAAAAAGATTGGTCAAAAGTGCGGTTGATGGAAAGGGGTTTCCTAAGAAAAGCTATTTAACTGTTTAATACTTAATACGTGTCTCAAAGTATGTATTAATTCTTACTTCTAGTTATTATATATGTGCAAATCCACCCGAACGTCGGATGTACATGGCCGATTTCAAAATAGCTAAATTAGGCACTGTTCAAATTGTTTCCAATAAACAACTGATTAGAAACTCACTTAACCTTTAGAATAAAATCGTTTCTTAATATATTGTAGTTGGGGCATGTGAAAAAATTAATGCAGTGTACCATTGTGACAGCCACAAGAGTATACATGATGTGTTATCTGAGATGTGTTTTTTAAGCCGATGGAAGTTTAAAGTGACAACATCTGGTATCATGGCTTAACTGAATATAACATTGTCCAAGTTTTATAATCCTAATAATAATACCATTCAGTTCTACAACGTATAGCCTGTGAATTGGTTAGATTTCTTTATATGTCATCACTAACAGCAAAGATGTTTTCCATCTTGTAAAAAGGTGTAATGGCTACGTTGGTCTCACTATACATTTTCTCGTGGCTTGTACCTCTTATCGCCCCACAAATAGTCCGTAATCAGTGAGTGGGCGAGGTAAAAATTAACGTCTCATCGGCATTATTTCAGCGTCCGTAATGAATTTATGTGTAGACATTCTAGGATTAATTCTTGTTCTTTGGTACAATTATCCAAAACATGGGAGCAAAATATTGACAAGATATATATGCTTGTTCATGACTTATGTAAAAGGGGTTATTTATCTGAGTGAGTATGGTTCACGGCGGTGGACACCAGAAAGGTATTTAAGACAATTAATCATAGGGATTACCTCTTTAACTCGCCAATGTCAGAATCTGACTGAAATATTAATACCAAAGTCCTTTCATTTTAAGATTAGGTTTTGCACTTGGGCACACTTTGAGGTGATATTGAACATTTTTATTTTTATTTGGATTAAGTTTTACTTGCATTCATTCATTTGGTAATTTTCTCCCAATCGGCATTACTATTTTACGCAGTAGTATTTGGAACTGTCCATTTTGGGAATTGGGTGGACCCCACCGCAAGCACAGTAAACAGAACTTCCAAGGTGAATAATATGTACTATAGTTTGTTGGCTCGACATGCAAGGCTCCATAATTTTAGCTATAAAGTCATAGTAATATTAAATTAATTTTTTTTAGAAATAATTCATTGATGTATTTGACATGAGACGTAGCGACACTCATGTATTTTATAATAACGTACAATTTCAATGCCTTAAATCTGTTGCATTAAACAAATTCTTTGATTTGATGTGGTCATATTGTGACTCAATTTGTGTCTAGTCTTCCAAATGTTCTATTGCGAATACATATAGTGTCAGCGCTCATGATCGCCATATCTATGAATGAATGAAAATATCATCATTAATAAACTTACCTGAGCTCAATATGTGTTCTGAAGACAAATCGCTGTAAAGCATCTTGCACGGCTTCGTTCACGTTCACCCTCAAATGTACGAAAGGAAAATCTGCGACTGTGCGTGTTCAATGTTCGAATGTATTTTTGCGACAGGCGGTCGTTTATTTATTTAGATTCCTCAAATTCATAAATCACAACTGATGTAGCTGCCTTGGTTAACTGGAGTCAGGATAAAACTAATTACAAACGCTGTTCTAATTATGCTAATCGAGGAAGTGCATTATACTGGATGACAAACTTAGTAATCCTTTCACACTAATCTTTGTTTACAATGAACGCATGTCAAATGACTAAATAAACATCCTTTTTATTTTCTTAAGTAGAAGTATCACAATGGGCGCTGAACACAACTGTTTGTAGAATGATAGGAAAGATAGAAAGGAATACAAATACAAATATACAGAAAGGGGTTTAAAATGGTTTCTTTCTTTGCATCCACCCATTGTTGTTGTGGATGCGGTTATTTGCTGTCGGAATTGTTTTTGCAATTCAATTAGTTAATTACTGCATGTCACGTTGGCCTGGACATAAATCACGTGGTGCACTATTAGGCCTATAATAACCCCCAACGGGTCGGAAGGGATCAACCTTGATTCTGCATCAATTCAAAAACTCCTGAATCCTCATCGACTCCTGAATACTACGATTTTGACGTTGTCATCTTGATCATCAGAACCATCAAAGGCGGCAAAATACAGTAAGCAACTTTTCTCCCACTTTTCAATTAAGATGTAGACAAGTACAACACGTTCAGTAACGATTTAAAAAATTGTACGAGTTTCTTAGTGTCAATAATTAGTAGAAGAGACGAAAAACAGACATACGAATGGACACGTTATCGACAACAATCCTATATATTTTAGTAACAATGATTAGTTGGACTGACTAGTATATATTTGCAAAAAGTAGATTTATAAAAGTTCAGCTTATTAAGTACAATACACCCATCAAATAGAGCTGCATGTGTCAGGGACCCAATCTAGATAGCGCCAACATCTTGAACCGCTGCGCCGGAAGAAGGTAACGTTTCTAGCTCTTACGTCGAGTAAAATCAGAAATGATTCGCGTGATACATATATGATGTACATATATGTGAACAGCCTCTCGTTATTAATGCCCTTTAATTGTAGTCATCTTACTATTTGATCGTTTATGCCACACAAAGCTATAAGTTCCGTAATAAAAATACGGAAAAATGAACAGATTAATCTCATGGACATATATTCAAAAATGGTAGCATAACGAATGAAGTAATGTTTGAATTTCCGTTCCCATAATACTGTTTAGATGAAACACCGTTAGCAACTTGAATGGGAATAAACAGTGGTATCTGTCACTAGGCAAAGGATACTAGACTATACAAGAACAGTTTTAGCATCTCACACCGTCCCGACAGGCGCCAAACTCTCAAATATTGCACAACATATATTGATGGCGTAATATGATATTACTATTACATTGTTTCTTGAATACTGTGCGAAGAATATTTTGTACGATGGCAAGATTCAAAACAAGTATCATTATCTTCTTTGCGAGGAATTTAGAAGTTGGAGTATTGAGAGAGGATAAGATCTGTGGATGAACAACATCACTTGCTTGATAATGGTGTTACAACATACACCTAAGCGTCGTTCCTTACTGTAATAAAGATGTTGATCATCAATATATCTTATCTCTACTCAGTTTTCATTATCGCTAAAATTAGACAAAACTGTAAAAATGGTTTAACATTCAATGTTATCAATATTAATTAACACAAGTATTGTGGTAGCACAGCTAGTCCCTGTAAAATTTTCATTTAAAAAAAATCAATAAAAAATCACAGCGCACAGGGAAATTGAGCGGAGCTCAATTCGAACGGTATTCCCATGTTATGTTCTGTTTTTCTGAAAATGTACATGAAGCGGATTGGTCAAGAAGTTTAAATGAAGACCACTCCGGAATACAATGATTCAAAAATGCAAACATGATATTGTAAATATATCTAGATTTTTAGACAGGATATTGCATAGATAATATTCCAACAGTCATTACATGATATCAATAAAATCGACCTGATGTCAAGCACATGTTATTTGACAAGATTGCAGTAGTCGTGAATTATAGGTGGATATGTTTGAATTTCCCCTTAGGACTGTGGTGAATGAATTATGGCTCAATTCGGAGTAGCTAGTTCAAGAAATGGATGGGATAAATGAAGTAAGGTTCACTCCCAGACATCCCATTAGTCTTTAGTCTTTAGTCTTTAGACTTAAGAATGGAAAGGCTACAGGTGTTGATGATATTCCTGCCGAAGTGTTAAAAAAATGTAAGTTCAGTTGATTTGTAGTACAGAATTATTAACTATTGCTTTGTAAACTGTACCAGCTATGTGGAACAGCGATATATCCATCCTATTCCTAAGAGCGGTATGAAGGATTTTAGAAACCCTTTGGTATCATTGTAACATCTATTCCTAACAAGTATATGCTTATGTACTCAATTAAAGACTGAGTGGCTTGAAAAAGACAATATCATAGCTGATAAGCAAAATGATTTTAGATCCAAATGAGACTGTATTGATCATTTATAGGTTTAAACGTCTTTAGTTCAGTATAGAAAAAAACAAAACAATCAACCTTTGTTACATTTGTTGATGTAAAAAAAACCTGACACCGTTTATAGCGAAGCTGAGGAATATTGGAGTTCGAGGAAAGATATTGAATGCTATCCAGTCGATTGTATGTCGATGTCAACTGTACTGCACGTGTAGGAGAATTTCTTACAGTACGTTTTACTGTTTAAAAATGGTGTAAAGCAAGGCTGTAAATTATCCCCAGCTATATTTTCTGTGTAGTTAACCACCTGGCTATTAATAATCTCAATTGTGGCGTACTTGTTGATGAGACTATGCTCTCCATTTTAATGTATGCTGCCGATATTGCATTAACTGCCCCCAATGAATGTTCATTACAATCCATGCTTAATGTACTGCATGAATGGTCAACACGTTGGCAACTTTCAGTGAATATGAATGAGACAAACGTAATTCATTTTAGAAATCACAACCGAGATCACAATGGATGGAGAACGCGCGCGCGCGCGCGCACGTACGCACGCACGGACACACACACACATACATACATACATACATACATATGTGGCAGTTACATATATTGACTATTTCTGGTATTTTACCTTTTAAGTATAATTCATGTACATAATTAAATGCAGCTGTAGTCATTTAATTTTAATGCTCAGCCTACTTTAAACACTAATATAAAACAACACAATTAAGAAGTATATACTAATATTTCAATGAATACAACAGACATTTGAAGTCAGACAAAATCTGAAACTACAACAGATATTGTTTGAACATACATCTCATGTTGAAGGAGATCACGTTTAATATTGGACACAATATCGTTAAGTAATATGTTTGTCTTTGTCTGCAACAAATAATACAAACAATAAAACACACAGACATTCGATGTGACACATAGTTACCAGCATATGTTAAAGAATCACTATCAAATAGTGATGATACCAATGGCACAGGTCATAAACAAGTCAAGTCAATTGTTCATATGAAAAACACACCACGGAAACAGATGGTCGAAATAAAAATATGGATCGGAATCATTCTTGTCACTGATGCGTCAAGTTTGGAAATAACTTCTTTGAGTGGCATTTAGAATTTGGTGTGATGAAGTAAGACGAGTTCTATGGATGAACAACTTCTTTATTACAATTGCTGATTGTAATAAAGAAGTTGTTGGAAATGTCCTCCAAATGTCTATCATAAAACTTGTTGAAAAATTTACAGAAGAGCCACCTAGAATGTCGCCAAGCACATCACTATTTATGTTGAAACAATAACATTCATCAACGAAAACGTGAAGTCACTGAGCTTTTGCATTTGACTGATTCTTAAATCATTCAATAATTTAGACACTGTTTGCAGCTCAGCTTGTATTATGAAGGAGCTCCCACTTACCGTACCTCGTGGTGTTTACTGTACGTGATTTTATGAGGCTTTTGTCACGGTAGTGGTCTGCGCATGTCTTTAAAGGACAGCTTGAAATGATTTTTAGATAATGACTGATATAGAAATTATTAAACTCACGTGTTTGTCACGTGTTATTTTACGACACTGATGCAAGAAATTGTGCATTGCCATCGCCCTCGCTCGGGAAATACAATAATTCTGACACTCGTTTCGTAAAATCAGTATCAAACACATGCTTGTATAATAATCACTATATATTTCTCAGCGTTGACTGTGTATCTAATGTAGGTCTATATGATGAAAAGAATTCTCCTCGACGTTAACTAGCGTGGTCACATCCACGTACGTAACTCGATAATCGACACTTGACAAAGTCAGGATATGGAATATTTGTAGAACACTTCGTCTCGATGGCCAAGCGATATTAAACGTTTCTTATCGACAATCAGCACTTGTTGAAGCCGACCTGAAGCTTATACCACGCAGTGATCCCGTTTACTCCAGCATATCTCACTTCTGTGAAGGGGGCTCGCATGTTGTTGATCATCAGAAGGGAACAATCAGCACTTGTTGAAGCCGACCTGAAGCTTATGCCACGCAGTGATCCCGTTTACTCCAGCATATCTCACTTCTGTGAAGGGGACTCGCATGTTGTTGACCATCAGAAGGGAACCGTCGAGGTATGTCTGCACAACACAATAAAGTTCACAAGAAGTTGCCTTGTTCTGTAAGCAGATTAATTTACTCCATGATTATGTATTCAGAATCATTATACTCGGGTACAGACATGTTGCGATGAACAAAAGTACAGATAGATATAACGCAAGATATTTAAAACTGTGTCTGTTACAACAACCGCATGATACATTAAAATGAACAAAAACAAAGCCCAGTGTTCCACTAGTACCATAGAGAGAAACATGGACTGAAGGATGGACGAATGGATGAATGGATGAATGGATGAATGGATGGATGGATGGATGGATTGATTGATGGATGGATGGATAAACGGATGGATGGACGAATGGACGGATAGAAGAATGGATGGACGAATGGATGGATGGATGAACGGATGGATGGATGAACGGATGGATGGATGGTCGGATGGATGGACGGACGGACGGACGGATAGATGGATGGATGGATGAACAGATGATGGATGAATTGATGGATCGATGAACGGATGGATAGACGAATGGATGGACAAATGGATGGATGAGGAACGTATGGATGGATGGATGAACAGATGGATAGATGGATGGATGAACGGATGGATGGATGGATGGATAGAAAGATGGATGATGGATGGATGGACGGCCAGACGGACGGATGAACGGATGGATGGATGACAGATGGATGATGGACGAATGGATGGATGGATGATGGATGAAAAGATATATGGATGGATGGATGATCGGATTGATGGACGGATGAATGCATGAACAGATGGATGCATGAACAGATGGATGGATGAATGGATGAATGGACGAATTGATCGATGGACGAATGCATTGATGGATGGATGGATGAACGGATGGATGGACGAATGGATGTATGGACGAATGGATGGATGGACGAATGGATGGATGGATGGATTGATGAACGGATGGACAAACGAATGGATGGATGGACGAATGGATGGATGATGGATTGATGAACGGATGGATGGACGAATGGATGTATGGACGAATGGATCGATGGACGAATGCATGGATGAATGGATGGATGAACGGATGGACGGACGAATGGATGGATGATGGATGGATGGATGGATGGATGAACAGATGGTTGGATGGAATGCATCAGGCACCATATTTGTCACAGATGCATCACATTTTGAAATGGCCTCCACAAAATAAGATAAGAAAGCGCTTTTGATGCCTTGAATACTGTAACCTTCTTCAAACACTCTCTAGTCGTATGCCCCTTTTTACAATCATGGTGGACAGGGCATTCTCGATTGTGTCTCAATAGTTGTGAAATGTAAACACCAAAGGCTACAGTTTCTGGAATGTTGCTCAACATGAAGGGAAGGTTGACTACTGGAAAGTTGAAATCACCCCTCTCGTCATACAGTCTTTGGGAGAATGTTTCCCTCTCGTCATACAGTCTTTGGGAGAATGTTTCCCTCTCGTCATACAGTCTTTGGGAGAATGTTTCCCTCTCGTCATACAGTCTTTGGGAGAATGTTTCCCTCTCGTCATACAGTCTTTGGGAGAATGTTTCCCTCTCGTCATACAGTCTTTGGGAGAATGTTTCCCTCTCGTCATACAGTCTTTGGGAGAATGTTTCCCTCTCGTCATACAGTCTTTGGGAGAATGTTTCCCTCTCGTCATACAGTCTTTGGGAGAATGTTTCCCTCTCGTCATACAGTCTTTGGGAGAATGTTTCCCTCTCGTCATACAGTCTTTGGGAGAATGTTTCCCTCTCGTCATACAGTCTTTGGGAGAATGTTTCCCTCTCGTCATACAGTCTTGTGGAGAGTGTTTCCCTCTCGTCATACAGTCTTTTGGAGAATGTTTCGTCACTCTGAATCGTTATGCACAGATCTAAATAAGACATAGATGAGGCGATACATTGTACTTGTAGTTCAGGTATTCATGTACCAACAACTTTATTTGAACTTATTGGTCAAATGGCCTTGTTTTGGTTTTGACAATCCGGGGATAAATTCATAAGCATAAACAAAGATTATTTTAAGCTCTTCCGCTTCCAAATCTAGCTGTTTGATACATAATTCTGAGGTCAGGGTTGAAAATGTAGGCAACAAGGTTCGGGCAGTTCCGGTATTGATCGTTATATCGTTACACTGTCAGGATCTGTTACGAAACGTCGCTATTGCAGTACGATGGAGAATTTGTTGTCTGTGCGGGTGTCACTGGTAAGACATGATTCGCTAATCTGGTCAGACAACACCTACTGCCATTACAATACCATACTGATTCATAAACACAGGCTCGTTATATAGTTGTGATCGTGGCAGAATTTGGAAACGGATTTATCTATAAGCTGTTTTCTGCTTGGTTTCCCGAATCTAGTTGATAGTTTGGGGTATTGGTTCTCTGTTTAACGTCTCTGTCTGGGGTTATGAGTGGGAAGTTGATTATAGTGAAATATACGTCACTCATGTACTCTACACCATTTACCTCAAATACCCCGATGCCGACATGGACGTCAATTATGAAGTGGTCGTAGTCGTTTGGGCGCCACCCTGAAGACGATTCTTGACGACCATATCCAGAACCATGGATGAGGGTGTTGAATATTACCTTAGGTTTGCGTAGCCACACTCTGAATGACGCCATGTAGACGCGGGGATAGAGGTCTGGGCACTGAAGGAATATTTGGCTTCTGAAAGAGCAAGTTCAGATGTAGAGCATAAAGTTTAAATGTGTGCCTCGTAATGTGTGGATGTTATAGCTCCCTGTAAACAGACCCGATAGGTGTAAGGAATCGCCATCATTTTATCACGCGTATGTCTTTGCTTACAGAAACACGTCTGATATAACGGTGCTGTCCAACTCTGTAAGTGTGAGTGTGAGTGAAGGTGCTGGGCAACGGCGGTTGAACACTTTTTCAGTTATTACATACTGTGTTAGTTCAATTAAGAAACACGAGACGATTGGGAGTTGTTTACCATACGATAAATTACTGCACTGTGTACGGCCACGATAGGAACATTTTGTAAAGCCTTTCCAAGGATGTCAATAAGTTGTCCAAGCTTTAAGATGTACATGTACCCGTGCGTGTGTAAATAATGATGTCTCCCAGAATTGAAACCGACTTTGGCAATGTCGGACAACTCCATTTCATGTACAGGGAAGTTAATGCTGGTATTCTCCCAATGTACACGTCGATTATCTGTACCATTTCCCCCAATACCGATTGTCATATCTCTCCCACTTTTGGGTGCGATCGTTCGGCAATTGCGTTCATCTGCGCTGTCCAGCCACATCTATGGGGAACAAGTCAACAGACACTTCACTCCTCACGACGGAGTCCAATTTATCACGTCATCAAGTTGCGAGCGCATGTTCGAATCTCTAGAAATGACGTCAAACCAGAACAAGGTTTTATCGTGAAATGAACCATGCTTCGTTCTTCATTGTTCTTTTGGGTGTTATCGCGTAGCTATCTTATATTGTGATATAGAATCATGACTTTATGCGTTTAGCAGGTTCTCAGCCGTTTACCACTTTCATGAGGCCTACAGCCACAGGCATTCAGCGACAACCAAGAATCATAATCAGGGCAAAGCAGAGAAATCATCTTGTCATTAAACTTGCACATGTATTCCCTAACATGGCCAATTATCGTACTTTCTATTGTATTGTATATAGATTCTTTGTGCATTTATCAAGAGTAAATGCACATATACATGTACATGAACACAATATTTAATTAAATATATATCTGAAGATAATATGTCTGGACAAGTACACAACATACGTGGTTAAGGGGTGAGTGTATTGCAATTTTTATGTGTGTATATCGTACGTGTTACAAATATAATATGTATATATGATATTGTATATGTTACAGATAAATAGTGATATGTCTGGTGAAGTACACAACATGACGTGGTAAAGTGGGTAATTTGTATATGTATGTATCGTACTTGTTACATATATAAAATGTACATGTGTATATCGTATGTGTTACAGATACATAATGACATGTCTGGTCAAGTACACAACATGACGACGTGTGGGAGCAAGAAGATAAAGAATATGTGATGGGGTTATGAGACTCTTTGAGGGAGGTTCTTCGGGGATTGAAATCAAGACTCGTGGCGTATCAAGCAAACACTGTACCTACTCCATCCTCTTGCCCTGCTATACACTAGAAATCGTCAGACTCGGACATATCAGATAGTGATGATGTCGCTGTAACAATTCAACTATTCTCTGAACTAACTTCGTTTGAGGGCGATGTGGAATCCCTCCCGCTAGTCCCCACGTCACTGTCATCCCCGGCTTCAGATTAAATCCCAGATCGTTGATGAGTTGCGTCCCAGTGGACTAGGGGTAAAAAAATACATACACTGCAATTACAGTCGAACAATGAAGTATTAGTATACACAAATATGCATACACTGCAATTACAGGCGATCAATGAAGTATTAGTATACAAAAATATACATACACTGCAATTACAGGCGATCAATGAAGTATTAGTGTACACAAATATACATACACTGCAATTACAGGCGATCAATGAAGTATTAGTATACAAAAATATACATACACTGCAATTACAGGCGATCAATGAAGTATTAGTATACAAAAATATACACTCGCAGTTTATGTTGCAACATATATCGTATCCAACACTTATAGGTACAATACGTACGTCTACAGTTGGATACACTCACAGTTTATGTTACAACATATATAAATATCCAACACTTATAGGTACAATACGCACGTCTACAGTTGGATATACTCACAGTTTATGTTACAACATATATCGTATCCAGCACTTATAGGTACAATACGTACGTCTACAGTATCATACACTCACAGTTTATGTTACAACATATATAAATATCCAACACTTATAGGCACAATACGTACGTCTACAGTATCATACACTCACAGTTTATGTTGCAACATATATCGTATCCAGCACTTTTAGGTACAATACGTACGTCTACAGTAGCATACACTCACAGTTTATGTTACAACATATATAAATATCCAACAAAACATATGTCGATATCCCAAAATGTAGATATAAATACGTACGTCCTCAGCAGCATAAACTCATAGTGTATAGTAATTAAACATGTGTACAATCTGCTTCACTTGTAGGTAAATGCGTACGTCTACAGTAGCATACACTCAAAGTGAATGGTTAATAAACCATTTAGGTCTATACTGTCCATACTGCATATTGAGTATAAGTCTAACATATCGGAATACTTCACATTGTCCTTTAAGTTGTTGTCAGTGTTAGTTTTACTTAAGGTCGCCGTTATTACACACTAAAACGTGCATTTAAGTGAAATAATATGTGTGTATGAATAGAAAGTATTCAGGATTATACTGAATAAAAATAGTGTCGGAAAATAAGTATATCATGAGATTGTGTGCTAAATCTTCACTACAAAAACATATTACATTCAATATTCTTTTCTGTGAAGTATATATATGCACTATTATATTTTGTTTGATATAAAACATCATTATTCAAAGGCATCATGTGATTTTTAAGTACTGGAAGAACACCCACCACGTTTGATGACGGCTTCCCGTAGAAGCTGACATGTGGGACGCACTTGACGTTCACTATATCCCAGGATGCTCCACTGAGGCACTCGAAGTGTCCAGGACAGTGTCTGTTCGAGTGGGACACACTCTTGTAGGTTACAGGACGTCTTACTTCATCGCAGCTAACTGAACATAAAGCATGCATGCCAGTTTACACTGGTCACCCACACCATCATGAGGTGAAGTTGTGTCATCCAAAACTGGTTTCAACTTGTGATTTACAAAGTAGAACACTTCTACCATATCTCAATTTTAAAATACGTTGTTGGAACATGCGGATTGGTAACTGCGTTTTTACGTTCCAAAACTGGTTAACAGATTATATACAAAATCCATCCATCCATCCATCCATCCATCCATCCATCCATCTCGTGATCTTGATAAAATCCTATGTCATGTGGAAATACATTTCTGACATCAGACATCAGCACGTCTTTTAACCTTAGTTTTGTATACAAAAAAAGAATTGCACGGGTAGAGTATTAGTAAATTTACTGTACCTAATAAAGTCGCTATGTTTAATGTAATTTCATTGATACAAATATGAAAATTTGGAGCTCAATAGCCATGTGCTGTCGTTGTACAAAGGCATTGAAAACTGTTCATTGTCATGTCACATAAGGCCACAAGGCTGCGCTGAGCTCACTATCTCGTAGGGACAGCCCCGGACAGCAATCACGGTTCTGCATCTCCTGGGCACTGATTGCATACGTGTAGGAATTGTGTCCTGCGGAATTCTGCGCCATTGTGAGTGTAACGCGTTGACCAGTTGTGGGAGTGTCTGCGGCGTGTTCTGACGTTGACGTACACATCGATCGAGTTCATCCCAGAGATGTTCGATTGGATTGAAATTGGGAGATCTCGACGGCCAGAGCGCCCTCTGGCGGTCATGATGGGAAGAAGGCGAGGTTGACACTACCGCCACCACACTGTGACACTACCGCCACCACACTGTGACACTACCGCCACCACACTGTGACACTACCGCCACCACACTGTGACACTACCGCCACCACACTGTGACACTACCGCCACCACACTGTGACACTTGTACACAATGTTCGGCAAAACGCTCATTTCGACGACGACGATAAACACGATCGTCTCGCCTGTGAAGAAGAAGTTGTGATTCATCGCTAAACCACACTCGTCTCCAGTTTCTCAAATTCCAATGCTGTCAGGCATCGTACCAAAGCAAGTGTCGCTGTCGATGGATCTGTTGCAAAACACGGATGATAACTGGTCTTCTGGGTCGGATTCCAGCCTCGCGAAGATGGTTCCTGACAGTCTGGTCCGATATCCTCCCCAAACCAGGGATGCGTACTGCAGTCTCCGCAGCTGTGGCAGTGCCATGGCGTAGGTGGAACAGTCAGTGTAGCGATCCTGTGCAGGGGTGGTAACTCTTGGTCGGCCGGTTCTCGGACGGTCTGCAGTGCAATTGAACTATGTGTATCGGTCACAAAGTCAGTAAATTAAAATATTGTGCTGTGGTGGACGTTGAAGTTGCGTGCAACAGAGGACTGTGATTCCCCTCTTTGGATACGTCCTGTGGCGATGTTCCGGTCGGCAGAGGTGAGCATCAGCATTTTAACTTGAAAAATGTTGACAATTGAATGACAAATTATTGGCTTACACAAGTTACTTGCACGTGCATTTTGCTTTATTTTGATATTTTTTAACAAGTGTGAGAACAATGCCGTTTAAGACATTGCATATCGACAATGGCTGCATTTTGACGCACCGTTTGTCGAATATCAGGCCTCGAACATTTTCCATTAACATATATCCAATTTATTTACCGTTTTGTGCGTTCAATGAACTACATACTACCTATGCGTTTCTTCTTTTGAAGAGAATATATATATATATATATATATATATATATATATATATATATATATACTCACACGCAAAAGAAACGCAAGCCGAGTATGCAGTATACATGTTATTTATTTTCAACAGTAAAGACAAGAACTAATTTGAGGGCTAGATTGACAAAAAATTGACTGAAGACAGTTAAATGGATTAAAAGGCAGATGACATAATGGTTTTTCTGGGTTTTTTTCCAAATGTTAATGGACCGTCCCCGTGGTCTAATGGTAGAGCGTCCGCCCGGAGAGCGGAAGGTCCGGGGTTCGATCCCCAGCCGCGTCACACAAAAAGACGTTAAAAGATGGTACTTGTTGTTACACTGTCCGGCGCTCGGCATTAAGGGGCTAAAACAAGGACTGGTCGGCTCGGAGTCAGTATACTGAGTGGGGTATTCATGTTAGACCGTGGCATGGTATCTCAGTGTGCTAGCACTATAACTCAGCATCAGTCCGGACTAGTACAAGCAGCAATAATCTTGGACGCGACGTTAAACAACATTTCACATCACTTCACCTCACTCAAATGTTAAGGGTTTACACAGTTTCGGGTCAATACCCAAAATGGCAGTCAATACCTGGTGTGACCACCATTAGCAATGTTCACTGCCACATATTTCCTGTACATTTAGTGGTTTAGACGATTTGTGAAGGCCCTAGGGATCCTCCTGCACACATCCAGAGCTGTGCGTAGTTCATCGGCAGTTGTAGGGACTGGGCGCACATTGTGCAGACGCCTTTAAACCTCATCCCACAAGTGTTCGATGGGGTTCAGATCAGGGCTGAGGGCTGTCTACGGTAGAACACGGATGTTGTGTTGTTGCAGAAAGGCCATGGTAGCTGTGACAAAATGGGGACGAGCGTTGTCCTGCTGGAAAATGTGTTGTTGATGTTGTGCAAAAAATGGAACAACGTGGGGTCTGATCACTTGGTCGATATACCGCTGAGCAGTAACGCCATGTCCCCGACCTTGACCCACTTTCAGAAAACACATGGATCCAAGTCTCGCATTAAGTCCAATCCCTGCCCATATCATGACTCTAGGTCCACCCCATGGATCCCTTTCCACAACGTTTCTGTCAGCGAAACGATCACCTCGAGGCAGCCACATTCTGACTCTTCTGTCTGCATGGGAGACACAAAAGCGCCTCCGCTCACGATGACGCCAATTGTGATGCCCCTATGCCCATTGAAGTCGTGCTTGTCGATGCCGTGGTAAGAGAACAGGACGACGTGCTGGTCGGCGACATCTGAGGTCGTTGGAACGGAGACGTCGGATCACAGTGTTCCGGCTAATGTGTCGACTATGTGTTCCTATGATCTGTCGAGCACTTTCACTTGCAGTTAGGAACGGATGTCGCTGGTGTTGACGGGTCATCTGCCGATCTTCTCCAGGTGTGGTGACCCTAGGACGACCGCTCCGAGGAAGGTCATCTGTGGTCTGTGTAGCGTTGTATCGATGCAGGAGACGGTAAATTGTGGTTATGGTAACGTTGAACGTCCGATAGCCTGGTTTATATGAATTTGAGTTAGGCGTGGCATTGTTGACCAAGGAGTGGTAGGTCCAAGAATCAGCCACAGTTTTATACCCACTACAGTTCGTGACAGTTCGTGCATTTTCGATTTCGCGAGAAATGGATGCATGATACCCACATATTCATTGAAATGGTGCGTTTTGGCGATTCGTTTTTTTATGTTGCGTAAAACTATTGATAACACCATCAGGCGTCACTACATACTAAAACTCGTATCAATTTATGGTTCTGTGTTTGTTACCTATTTGCTTAAAAACACTTGCGTTTCTTTTGCGTGTGTGTGTATATATATGTTCCTCTCTATCCCCCCCCCCCTCTCTCTCTCTCTCTCTATATATATATATATCTGTGTGTCTCTCTCTCTCTCTCTCTCTCTCTATATATATATATATATATATGTATATATATATATATATATATATGCAGTCAAGTCCCGTTAATCCATCCTATATATATATATATATATATATATATATATATATATATGTAAGCACAGTAAAGTTCTAACTCTCAGGCACAATATAGTAATAATTAAATAAGTGGAGTAAGATTGAACACAGTTTTAATACGCTAGTGCTTTCAACTCGAGTACGAGTCTCAACGTACGAGTCTCATCAGGCCATAACTGATATGGCCATCATATGGCCTGATGAGACTCGTACGATGAGACCGAAGGTGTACGTTCAAACTGTCTTACCCTTCTTCATTGTTGCTGTACATATCTGGTCTACGTGACGGTAGTCAGAAGACTGACACACCAACATCTTCTTGCAGTTAGTCCCCACACAGTACACACCAGGGACGTTGATGTTGATGCTGTTGCTGCTGTTGCTGTTGAGGATGTCTTTGATGCTGTTGCATAGAAAGATCTTGAACATTTCAAGCAACATTATACGATATATGTACCTTTCCTATGGGCCAGCTTGAGTGTATCCCGTCAGGTATGTGTCACGTGGTTTGGAGACTCTTCAGCGTATTTCTCAAGTGGTATGTTGTATACACTGTCTGCAATAATAACACGTAGAATAAGTGTCCATCAGAACATCATCAGTATACTTGTTAGGAACAGTAGAGAATATTAATCAACACACATGGAAATACTCAAGATCTTTGGTGTCCTGAAGTAGCACGTTAACAGCAGGACTGCCCAACAAGAACAGGCAAGATCTTTGGTGTCCTGAAGTGCCCAACAAGAACTGGTATTCGTGTTGAATATTCCTGGAGTCTGAACACTGGGTGAGTCTTTGCTTCATATTGTTTTAGTTGGTTTGCCTCATCCAAGCTCTATTTTTTTCATCGGTAATAGGTTTTGCAGTCTAAATATTAAATATAGTGATTAAGACTGAACAATTAACGTTAAAACAACTGTTATAGCTATTTTTTAGGCATCATGTTGGGACGTTAATTGTTGAAACTGTTCAATTATTGAGTATAATTCAAACGACGAATTGTTGATTACAAAGGGCAACGGATATTAAATGTTCTTTCTTCATTGTTCCAAGTCATAATATTTCACGACTTCCCATTTAAATATTACTTCTTGATGGAAATGAATGTTTGGTCATATGTCAATGTGCATTTTGATGGCATCTTCAGCATCTAACATTAACTTTTCATGTTAACTGATCTCAAAATGTAATAAAGAAAACTTACGATCGACCCTACTACGTTCATGAAGGACATCAATAACGGGAAGATCCGCGAACATTTGTTTTACAGCCGAAGAAAGAAGGACTGTCTTTTTAAAGCTGCCTTTCCATGAATAGTTTAATGCTCTCTGGGTCAGACAATAAAGATAAATGCATGTGAATGTAATACAGTATGTGATCCTCAGGCATGTTCATTAACTGATCCTCAAATGTATGCTTTCGTTGTGACTTTCAAGGTGACAAGCAACAATGTATCTCCTTGACAAACCTCTGAAACAATATTCCATGTACACAACAGTACAATTACCATAGACAGTGTACCTTAGTGATCTGTCGGCTGTGTCACACTCTCAGTGTTCACACATACCAATTCACTCAGTTTAATTAAATTACAATAATTACAAAATACTTATACATGATGTATCTACTGACCAGTTTCGTTGAATTACACCTTTATAACAAAGTGAATACGAAATAATGTATATATTGAACAGTTTCAATCAATTACACCATTATAACAAAGTGAATACGAAATAATGTATATATTGAACAGTTTCAATCAATTACACCGTTATAACAAGGTGAATACACTTAATGTATCTAGTAAGCAGTTTCAATCAATTACACCGTTATAACAAGGTGAATACACTTAATGTATCTAGTAAGCAGTTTCAATCAATTACACCGTTATAACAAGTTGAATACACTTAATGTGTCTAGCAAGCAGTTTCAATCAATTACACCGTTATAACAAAGTGAATACACTTAATGTGTCTAGTAAGCAGTTTCAATCAATTACACCGTTATAACAAAGTGAATACACTTAATGTGTCTAGTAAGCAGTTTCAATCAATTACACCGTTATAACGGTCAATAAAAACGCATCTAACAAGCAGTTTCAATAATTATACCCGTAATGACAAAGTTAATAAACAATATGCATCTGTCAAGCAGTTTCACAGAATTGACAAAAACAGCTAAGTAAATAGATATACTGTATCCATCAACGAAAGGGTTTCACAGCATTACCCATAACAGCGCACACACGCACGTACGCATGCATTTGGTTGACTCTTAGAACAAGAAAAGACAAGCATCTATTGTGCAGCAACGTTTTATGCATAGCGGATGTAAAGTCGCGTTTAGCAACACTAACAGTGTTCATGATCACAATCAAATAGCAGTCTCTGTTACAACATTATCTGTAACAGAGTGAATAGCGAAATGAATATATCAACCTTCAGTTTCACTACAACAACCCACGAAAGTAATAAGTGGTAACTAAATGTATCCATCGACCTTTTCGTGAACCTCTTGTATCATCACTACTTAATACGGTGAACTGATTATGAAAAGTGTTTCGTTGCTTCAATACACTAAAATAATGCGAAGCTTTAAACTCAACCAATATCTATGTAAAGAAACTATAACCACATAGGATTGGTTGGTTGGTTGGTTTGTTGTTTAACGCCGCACTCAGCAATATTCCAGCTATATGACGGCGGTCTGTAAATAATCGAGTCTGGACCAGACAATCCAGTGATTAATAACATGAGCATCGATCCACACAATTGGGACCGATGACATGCATCAACCAAGTCAGCGAGCCTGACCACCCGATCCTGTTAGTCGCCTTTTACGACAAGCATAGTCACCTTTTACGGCAAGCATGGGTTGCTGAAGACCTATTCTACCCCGGGATCTTCACGGGTCTAAACACATAGGAACACTCAAAATCCTTCTACGGCCATGCACGTATCATTGTTCTGTATTACATGTTACAGGTATATAGCTGTGCGATGATTGTATACACACACAAACACCCACACAGATGTATCCACACACACACATGCAATTGTACTGTTAACATGAGAAGTGTAAAGCAATATGACATGTACAGTGTCACTACATACTGACTAATCTAATATCTCTATGTAAAGCTAAATTAAATTTAAAACTGGCTCCCACAGGAGATATCGCCTGACTTCCAGGATACATCGACTGGGTGAGGTCAAGCCATATCTACATTGTAGACATTGCTGCACTGTTATGGCATCAAAATGCTTTGAAGACCATTGTGACATCGGTTACCATGACGTCACAATCAAATGACATCACTAATGGCTCTGTTACTGAAGCTGTTGGCAGTACTTTTGTGACACTCATACACTGCTTATCACTGTCTTCTAACTGAAAGCAAGTTGTAAAATGATGGTGGGTGATAAATAAAATCGCACCCACGTTTTTTTTTATATATTTGATATCAAAAGACACTTGGGTGAGATTCTCTATGCATTTACCGCACACACAGTGTTAGAGCCATTCAGTTCTAAATAGTGGATATAAATTCGCCTCTTCCACCGATCAAATGTACATTTATTATAAATTAGCAATAGTAAGCTTCAATTAATGAAATATGTAGATATACTCAATTGGGTGACACTAGTCTCTCCCCTTCATTGCCCGCCAGACGTAATGGCAACAGATATCTCAAGTTACATTTTGAAGCAGTAGTTTTAATTAGAACAGGATTGAATTATGGGTTGCCTTGGCCATCTGACGACCACATCACACCAGTAGCGGAGGCATGGCTGACCCAGTCGACTGAGGCTGTCGGAATTCACAGTGCAGTGTTGCGTCCCTTGGACAAACCAGATATCTATATGTTGTGTCTGCACCCTGCTCTACCCCGATTATATGTTTATTTGTCAGCACGACACCCGTGCTCGTGGGTTTCACTAAAGTGGGAAACGTCTGAGACCTGCATCACTTCGGGCTTTCTTCCAACATTACCCTTGGTCGTCGTTATTAACTGGATTACTGTTCCAGGCAGCGTTCAAATTACTCACTCACCCATTCACACCAGTCTCACTTGTGTAACACTACAATCAGGGTTCCTAACAACGGTGCTGTACAAAACAATTCATCGAAGAATCGCTCTATTTCATGGTGATATGGTTCTATTACTTCGTAATATAACTATTTGCGTTTCATTATTGCCGAAGTACCGTCCTTAGTTCTATTCCATCGGAATATTACTCAATTAAGTCGTAATATGATTCTCTTACATCGGAACTACACTCTGTAGCACCTCAATACTGCTCTGTTACATCAAAATATCCCTCTTTTGCATAACTGCATCGCAATATCGTTATCTTACCAAAATCGCTATATTACTAATACTGTTATATTACCAATATCGTTATATTCCCAATATCGTTATAATACTAATATCATTATATTTCCAATATCGTTATATTACCAATATCGTTACATTACAAATATCGTTATATTACCAACATCGTTATATTACCAATATCGTTATATTACTAATATCGTTACATTACAAATATCGTTATATTACCAACATTATTATATTACCAATATCGTTATGTTACCAATATCGTAACAATTCAATCTAGTACATAGTTTCATGGACTCACGCCCCTATCGCATCGCTCATCAAGGTGATTTGACAAACTCATAGTCATAGAACTCCAACCTATTTAAGTAAAATTGTTACTAGTCATGAAACCCTTATATTGAAACCTATGAAGACAATGACATGAATTCTTTATCAGAAGATATTAAACTATACAATTATTCACCAGAAGATATCAATCAACATAATTCTTTACCAGAAGACATTCAACAATACAATTCTTTACCAGAAGACATTCAACAATACAATTCTTTATCAGAAGACATTAAACAATACAATTCTTTAGCAGTTTCACAGCCTGAAATTAAGACGTTAATTTGGATTCGATGTCAATATTGGAAATATATTTTGCCAAGTAATCCATTTACGACTCAGATAAGGTTGTAGCAGTTTATATTCACATGAAACTGACAGATTCATTTTAAATGACACATCCTGCTCTTGTGGCGCTTCTTATGAAAACACCATTTATTATACATTTGTCTCCAAATTATACCATTATCAGAAATATAATGTTTCATTATACAAAGCATTATGTTATTGAGAAAGCTTTATCTGGTACTTTTGAGTAACATGTACAGGGAAACACGCAGATTATCCATCCCGTACATACATTTATCTCAGAATCTGACAGATGTCATTAATCCAGTATTATGTCTCAATGATCCAGTTATAATCTAATAGTTCCAAGATAGCTTAAACGATACAATTGCATTAGTATCTAATGATCACCCAAAAAAATTCACATTAAGTTAGTTGTCTATAACTGGTATGTCATGGAAGATAACTTCAAGTTTGTGTATTGAAGCGACATTAAGATGATCTATTGGCTTTCTTGCTCATCCATTGCATTTTGAAATAGTCTTTTGTAGAACACTTATTAAGCTATGCATTTGGTGACCCACTAAGATACATATGATATAAGAACCTCATAACGTGTAGTTTAATAACTTCAAATGTGGCATACATACTTTGACAGGCTTACTAATATTGAACTTTTTTGTCCCTGCATCTACTTTAAAATCATGAAATTTCACTGAACTTGTGTACACATCAGTTTTATTGAGTAATCATGTTTTATGCAGCTTTAAATAGCATCCTAGTATCAGACATTGTGCCACGATGGTACTCGGGAACGAAGGCTGAGTGTTTCGAGTGAGCGCTGAACCAACTAGGCCACATCGCACAGGTTTAAGATGAAAGGACGATGTTGATGTTCTGTAAATTACAGTGAGTGAGTGAGTGAGTGAGTTGGGTTTAACGCTGCTTTTGACAGTATTCCAGTTGCAGGTCTCAGACATTTACCACTTCGGTGAAACCCACGAGCACATGTATGTTACACTTTGCATATGATAATGTTTACAAGACGTTTACAAAGAAACTATTACATAGGCGTTATTAGTTTCTATCATGGTGATGCTCAAAACAACAAATAAAGATGGCATCACAGACACCTTCTATACATGAATAACAGCACTACATTCATAAACAGGTATATTCGAAATAAGGAATTATTTAAAATTGACAAGAAACAATAAACACACTGAGTAAGTATTCTGTCTGTAACTTTCTCATAGTCCCTGTGTAAGTTCAATGACTCTTGAATCTATTACAATGACTGTTTCAGAAAATTTAAAAACTAAAACTAGTTCTGAACAGCATTTTACTGATACTGTTGTTTTGAAATGATTTTGTAACATATGGGTATTGGTTTGTAAGATAAAAACTGTCGTCATAATGTGATACTGAGCAAAACTCGTCGAAAACTGAAAACTCGTCCTCACCTTTACTGTCTCGTGTCCGCGAATACCACAGCTGAGAAGAAGAGGCCTAAGGATTCCTTAAGGACTATGTTGGTGTAGACGTCAATGAGTCGACTGCTGGCAGTGTCAGATTCATTCAGATTGCTGTTGTCAGTGTGGGCGTCTGTGAGCCGGCTGTTGTCTGTGTTGGCGTGAGTGAGGTTGTTGTTGTCTGTGTTGGCGTGAGTGAGGTGGCTGTTGTCAGTGTTGGCGTCAGTGATGTGGCTGTTGTCTGTGTTGGCGTCAGTGAGGTGGGTGTTGTCTGTGTTGGCGTGAGTGAGGTGGCTGTTGTCAGTGTTGGCGTCAGTGATGTGGCTGTTGTCTGTGTTGGCGTCAGTGAGGTGGCTGTTGTCTGTGTGGGCGTCAGTGAGGTACCTGTTGTCTGTGTGGGGTCAGTGAGGTGGCTGTTGTCAGTGTGGGCGTCAGTGAGGTGGCTGTTGTCGGTGTGAGCGTCAGTGAGGTAGCTGTTGTCAGTGTTGGCGTAAGTGAGATGGTATTGTCAGTGTGGGCGTCAGTGAAGTGGATGTTGTATGTGTGGGCGTCAGTGAGGTAGCTGTTGTATGTGTGGGCGTCAGTGAGGTAGCTGTTGTATGTGTTGGCGTGAGTGAGGTGGCTGTTGTCTGTGTTGGCGTGAGTGAGGTGGCTGTTGTCTGTGTTGGCGTCAGTGCGGTGGGTGTTGTCTGTGTTGGCGTCAGTGAGTTGGGTGTTGTCTGTGTTGGCGTGAGTGAGGTGGGTGTTGTCTGTGTGGGCGTCATTGAGGTAGCTGTTGCCTGTGTGGCCGTCAGTGAGGTGGCTGTTGTCGGTGGGGGCGTCAGTGAGGTGGCTGTTGTCGGTGGGGGCGTCAGTTTGGTAGCTGTTGCCTGTGTGGGCGTCAGTGAGGTGGCTGATGTCTGTGTGGGCGTCAGTGAGGTAGCTGTTGCCTGTGTGGGCGTCAGTGAGGTGGCTGTTGTCTGTGTGGGCGTCTGTGATATGGCTGTTGTCTGTGTGGGCGTCGTTGAGGTGGCTGTTGTCTGTGTGGGCGTCAGTGAGGTAGCTGTTGTCAGTGTGGGCGTCTGTGAGATGGCTGTTGTCTGTGTTGGCGTCGTTGAGGTGGCTGTTGTCTGTGTTGGCGTCTGTGAGATGGCTGTTGTCTGTGTTGGCGTCAGTGAGATGGCTGTTGTCTGTGTGGGTGTCTGTGAGATGGCTGTTGTCTGTGTTGGCGTCAGTGAGGTTGATGTCTGTGTTGGCGTCAGTGAGGTTGATGTCTGTGTGGGCGTCAGTGAGGTGGCTGTTGTCTGTGTTGGCGTCTGTGAGGTGGCTGTTGTCTGTGTTGGCGTCAGTGAGGTGGCTGTTGTCTGTGTGGGCGTCTGTGAGATGGCTGTTGTCTGTGTGGGCGTCGTTGAGGTGGCTGTTGTCTGTGTGGGCGTCAATGAGGTGGCTGTTGACAGTGTGGGCGTCTGTGAGATGGCTGTTGTCTGTGTGGGCGTCGTTGAGGTGGCTGTTGTCTGTGTTGGCGTCAGTGAGGTTGATGTTGTCTGTGTGGGCGTCAGTGAGGTGGCTGTTGTCTGTGTGACCGTCAGTAAGGTAGCTGTTGTCTGTGTGGGCGTCAGTGAGGTGGCTGTTGTCTGTGTTGGCGTCAGTGCGGTGGGTGTTGTCTGTGTTGGCGTCAGTGAGGTGGGTGTTGTCTGTGTTGGCGTCAGTGAGGTGGCTGTTGTCTGTGTGGGCGTCAGTGAGGTAGCTGTTGCCTGTGTGGCCGTCAGTGAGGTGGCTGTTGTCGGTGGGGGCGTCAGTGAGGTGGCTGTTGTCGGTGGGGGCGTCAGTGAGGTGGCTGTTGTCTGTGTGGGCGTCAGTGAGGTGGCTGTTGTCGGTTCGAGATGGTTGTTATTTTTCTGGGCGTCAGTGAAATGGTTGTTTTCAGTGTCGGCGTCAGTGAGGTGGCTTTTGTCTGTGTTGGCGTGAGTGAGATAGCTGTTGTATTTGTTAAGGTCAGTGAGGTGGCTGTTGTCTGTGTGAGCGTCAGTGAGGTGGCTGTTGTCGGTGTGAGCGTCAGTGAGGTGGGTGTTGTCTGTTTTGGCGTCAGTGAGGTTGATGTTGTCAATGTGGGCGTCAGTGAGGTTGATGTTGTCAATGTGGGCGTCAGTGAGATGGCTGTTGTCTGTGTGGGCGTCAGTGAAGTGGCTGTTGTCAGTATGGGCGTCAGTGAGGTGGCTGTTGTCATTGTGGGCGTCAGTGAGGTTGATGTTGTCTGTGTGGCCGTCAGTGAGGTTGATGTTGTCTGTGTGGACGTCAATGATGTGGCTGTTGTCTGTGTGGGCGTCAGTGAAGTGGCTGTTGTCTCTGTGGGCGTCAGTGAGGTGGCTGTTGTCTGTGTGGGCGTCAGTGAGGTGGGTGTTGTCTGTGTGGACGTCAGTGAGGTGGCTGTAGTCTGTGTGGGCGTCAGTGAGGTTGATGTTGTCTGTGTGGGCGTCAGTGAGGTTGATGTTGTCTGTGTGGGCGTCAGTGAGGTGGCTGTTGTCTGTGTGGGCGTCAGAGAGATGGGTGTTGTCTGTGTGGGCGTCTGTGAGATGGGTGTTGTCTGTGTGGGCGTCAGAGAGATGGCTGTAGTCTGTGTGGGCGTCAGTGAGGAGGCTGTTGTCTGTGTGGGCGTCAGTGAGGAGGCTGTTGTCTGTGTGGGCGTCAGTGAGGTAGCTGTTGTCAGTGTGGGCGTTTGTGAGATGGCTGTTGTCAGTGTGGGCGTGAGTGAGGTGACTGTAGTCTGTGTGGGCGTCAGTGAGGTGACTGTAGTCTGTGTGGGCGTCAGTGAGGTGGCTGTTGTCAGTGTGGGCGTCAATGAGGTGGCTGTTGTCTGTATTGGCGTCAGTGAGGTAGCTGTTGCCTGTGTGGGCGTCAGTGAGGTGGCTGTTGTCGGTTCGAGATGGTTGTTATTTTTCTGGGCGTCAGTGAAATGGTTGTTTTCAGTTTCGGCGTCAGTGAGGTGGCTTTTGTCTGTGTTGGCGTGAGTGAGATAGCTGTTGTATTTGTTAAGGTCAGTGAGGTGGCTGTTGTCTGTGTGGGCGTCAGTGAGGTGGGTTTTGTCTGTGTGGACGTCAGTGAGGTGGCTGTTGTCTGTGTGGGCGTCAGTGAGGTTGATGTTGTCTGTGTGGGCGTCAGTGAGGTTGATGTTGTCAATGTGGGCGTCAATGAGGTGGCTGTTGTCTGTGTTGGCGTCAGTGAGGTGGCTGTTGTCTGTGTGGCGTCAGTGAGGTGGCTGTTGTCAGTGTGGGCGTCAGTGAGGTGGTTGTTGTCTGTTTTGGCGTCAGTGAGGTTGATGTTGTCAATGTGGGCGTCAGTGAGGTTGATGTTGTCAATGTGGGCGTCAGTGAGATGGCTGTTGTCTGTGTGGGCGTCAGTGAAGTGGCTGTTGTCAGTATGGGCGTCAGTGAGGTGGCTGTTGTCAGTGTTGGCGTCAGTGAGGTTGATGTTGTCATTGTGGGCGTCAGTGAGGTTGATGTTGTCAGTGTGGGCGTCAGTGAGGTGGCTGTTGTCAGTGTGGGCGTCAGTGAGGTGGCTGTTGTCAGTGTGGGCGTCAGTGATGTGGCTGTTGTCTGTGTGGGCGTCAGTGAGGTGGCTGTTGTCAGTGTTGGCGTCAGTGAGGTTGATGTTGTCATTGTGGGCGTCAGTGAGGTTGATGTTGTCTGTGTTGGCGTCAGTGAGGTGGCTGTTGTCTGTGTGGGCGTCAGTGAGGTGGGTGTTGTCTGTGTTGGCGTCAGTGAGGTAGGTGTTGTCTGTGTTGGCGTCAGTGAGGTGGCTGTTGTCAGTGTGGGCGTCAGTGAGGTGGCTGTTGTCAGTGTGGGCGTCAGTGATGTGGCTGTTGTCTGTGTGGGCGTCAGTGAGGTGGCTGTTGTCAGTGTTGGCGTCAGTGAGGTTGATGTTGTCATTGTGGGCGTCAGTGAGGTTGATGTTGTCTGTGTTGGCGTCAGTGAGGTGGCTGTTGTCTGTGTGGGCGTCAGTGAGGTGGGTGTTGTCTGTGTTGGCGTCAGTGAGGTAGGTGTTGTCTGTGTTGGCGTCAGTGAGGTGGCTGTTGTCAGTGTGGGCGTCAGTGAGGTGGCTGTTGTCAGTGTGGGCGTCAGTGAGGTTGATGTTGTCAATGTGGGCGTCAGTGAGGTTGATGTTGTCATTGTGGGCGTCAGTGAGGTTGATGTTATCTGTGTTGGCGTCAGTGAGGTTGATGTTGTCTGTGTTGGCGTCAGTGAGGTGGCTGTTGTCTGTGTTGGCGTCAGTGAGGTTGATGTTGTCTGTGTTGGCGTCAGTGAGGTTGATGTTGTCATTGTGGGCGTCAGTGAGGTTGATGTTGTCTGTGTTGGCGTCAGTGAGGTAGGTGTTGTCTGTGTTGGCGTCAGTGAGGTAGGTGTTGTCTGTGTTGGCGTCAGTGAGGTTGATGTTGTCATTGTGGGCGTCAGTGAGGTTGATGTTATCTGTGTTGGCGTCAGTGAGGTGGCTGTTGTCTCTGTGGGCGTCAGTGATGTGGCTGTTGTCTGTGTGGGCGTCAGTGAGGTGGGTGTTGTCTGTGTGGGCGTCAGTGATGTGGCTGTTGTCTGTGTGGGCGTCAGTGAGGTGGCTGTTGTCAGTGTTGGCGTCAGTGAGGTTGATGTTGTCTGTGTGGGCGTCAGTGATGTGGCTGTTGTCTGTGTGGGCGTCAGTGAGGTGGCTGTTGTCAGTGTTGGCGTCAGTGAGGTTGATGTTGTCATTGTGGGCGTCAGTGAGGTTGATGTTGTCTGTGTTGGCGTCAGTGATGTGGCTGTTGTCTGTGTGGGCGTCAGTGAGGTGGGTGTTGTCTGTGTTGGCGTCAGTGAGGTAGGTGTTGTCTGTGTTGGCGTCAGTGAGGTGGCTGTTGTCAGTGTGGGCGTCAGTGAGGTGGCTGTTGTCAGTGTGGGCGTCAGTGATGTGGCTGTTGTCTGTGTGGGCGTCAGTGAGGTGGCTGTTGTCAGTGTTGGCGTCAGTGAGGTTGATGTTGTCAGTGTGGGCGTCAGTGAGGTGGCTGTTGTCAGTGTGGGCGTCAGTGAGGTGGCTGTTGTCAGTGTGGGCGTCAGTGATGTGGCTGTTGTCTGTGTGGGCGTCAGTGAGGTGGCTGTTGTCAGTGTTGGCGTCAGTGAGGTTGATGTTGTCATTGTGGGCGTCAGTGAGGTTGATGTTGTCTGTGTTGGCGTCAGTGAGGTGGCTGTTGTCTGTGTGGGCGTCAGTGAGGTGGGTGTTGTCTGTGTTGGCGTCAGTGAGGTAGGTGTTGTCTGTGTTGGCGTCAGTGAGGTGGCTGTTGTCAGTGTGGGCGTCAGTGAGGTGGCTGTTGTCAGTGTGGGCGTCAGTGATGTGGCTGTTGTCTGTGTGGGCGTCAGTGAGGTGGCTGTTGTCAGTGTTGGCGTCAGTGAGGTTGATGTTGTCATTGTGGGCGTCAGTGAGGTTGATGTTGTCTGTGTTGGCGTCAGTGAGGTGGCTGTTGTCTGTGTGGGCGTCAGTGAGGTGGGTGTTGTCTGTGTTGGCGTCAGTGAGGTAGGTGTTGTCTGTGTTGGCGTCAGTGAGGTGGCTGTTGTCAGTGTGGGCGTCAGTGAGGTGGCTGTTGTCAGTGTGGGCGTCAGTGAGGTTGATGTTGTCAATGTGGGCGTCAGTGAGGTTGATGTTGTCATTGTGGGCGTCAGTGAGGTTGATGTTATCTGTGTTGGCGTCAGTGAGGTTGATGTTGTCTGTGTTGGCGTCAGTGAGGTGGCTGTTGTCTGTGTTGGCGTCAGTGAGGTTGATGTTGTCTGTGTTGGCGTCAGTGAGGTTGATGTTGTCATTGTGGGCGTCAGTGAGGTTGATGTTGTCTGTGTTGGCGTCAGTGAGGTAGGTGTTGTCTGTGTTGGCGTCAGTGAGGTAGGTGTTGTCTGTGTTGGCGTCAGTGAGGTTGATGTTGTCTGTGTTGGCGTCAGTGAGGTTGATGTTGTCATTGTGGGCGTCAGTGAGGTTGATGTTGTCTGTGTTGGCGTCAGTGAGGTAGGTGTTGTCTGTGTTGGCGTCAGTGAGGTAGGTGTTGTCTGTGTTGGCGTCAGTGAGGTTGATGTTGTCATTGTGGGCGTCAGTGAGGTTGATGTTATCTGTGTTGGCGTCAGTGAGGTGGCTGTTGTCTCTGTGGGCGTCAGTGATGTGGCTGTTGTCTGTGTGGGCGTCAGTGAGGTGGGTGTTGTCTGTGTGGGCGTCAGTGATGTGGCTGTTGTCTGTGTGGGCGTCAGTGAGGTGGCTGTTGTCAGTGTTGGCGTCAGTGAGGTTGATGTTGTCTGTGTGGGCGTCAGTGATGTGGCTGTTGTCTGTGTGGGCGTCAGTGAGGTGGCTGTTGTCAGTGTTGGCGTCAGTGAGGTTGATGTTGTCATTGTGGGCGTCAGTGAGGTTGATGTTGTCTGTGTTGGCGTCAGTGATGTGGCTGTTGTCTGTGTGGGCGTCAGTGAGGTGGGTGTTGTCTGTGTTGGCGTCAGTGAGGTAGGTGTTGTCTGTGTTGGCGTCAGTGAGGTGGCTGTTGTCAGTGTGGGCGTCAGTGAGGTGGCTGTTGTCAGTGTGGGCGTCAGTGATGTGGCTGTTGTCTGTGTGGGCGTCAGTGAGGTGGCTGTTGTCAGTGTTGGCGTCAGTGAGGTTGATGTTGTCATTGTGGGCGTCAGTGATGTGGCTGTTGTCTGTGTGGGCGTCAGTGAGGTGGCTGTTGTCAGTGTTGGCGTCAGTGAGGTTGATGTTGTCATTGTGGGCGTCAGTGAGGTTGATGTTGTCTGTGGTGGCGTCAGTGAGGTGGCTGTTGTCTGTGTGGGCGTCAGTGAGGTGGCTGTTGTCTGTGTGGGCGTCAGTGAGGTGGCTGTTGTCTGTGTTGGCGTCAGTGAGGTTGATGTTGTCTGTGTGGGCGTCAGTGATGTGGCTGTTGTCTGTGTGGGCGTCAGTGAGGTGGGTGTTGTCTGTGTGGGCGTCAGTGAGGTGGCTGTTGTCAGTGTGGGCGTCAGTGAGGTGGCTGTTGTCAGTGTGGGCGTCAGTGATGTGGCTGTTGTCTGTGTGGGCGTCAGTGAGGTGGCTGTTGTCAGTGTTGGCGTCAGTGAGGTTGATGTTGTCATTGTGGGCGTCAGTGAGGTTGATGTTGTCTGTGTTGGCGTCAGTGAGGTGGCTGTTGTCAGTGTGGGCGTCAGTGATGTGGCTGTTGTCTGTGTGGGCGTCAGTGAGGTGGCTGTTGTCAGTGTTGGCGTCAGTGAGGTTGATGTTGTCATTGTGGGCGTCAGTGAGGTTGATGTTGTCTGTGTTGGCGTCAGTGAGGTGGCTGTTGTCAGTGTGGGCGTCAGTGATGTGGCTGTTGTCTGTGTGGGCGTCAGTGAGGTGGCTGTTGTCAGTGTTGGCGTCAGTGAGGTTGATGTTGTCATTGTGGGCGTCAGTGAGGTTGATGTTGTCTGTGTTGGCGTCAGTGAGGTGGCTGTTGTCTGTGTGGGCGTCAGTGAGGTGGGTGTTGTCTGTGTTGGCGTCAGTGAGGTAGGTGTTGTCTGTGTTGGCGTCAGTGAGGTGGCTGTTGTCAGTGTGGGCGTCAGTGAGGTGGCTGTTGTCAGTGTGGGCGTCAGTGATGTGGCTGTTGTCTGTGTGGGCGTCAGTGAGGTGGCTGTTGTCAGTGTTGGCGTCAGTGAGGTTGATGTTGTCATTGTGGGCGTCAGTGAGGTTGATGTTGTCTGTGTTGGCGTCAGTGAGGTAGGTGTTGTCTGTGTTGGCGTCAGTGAGGTAGGTGTTGTCTGTGTTGGCGTCAGTGAGGTTGATGTTGTCTGTGTTGGCGTCAGTGAGGTTGATGTTGTCTGTGTGGGCGTCAGTGAGGTGGCTGTTGTCTGTGTTGGCGTCAGTGAGGTTGATGTTGTCAATGTGGGCGTCAGTGAGGTTGATGTTATCTGTGTTGGCGTCAGTGAGGTGGCTGTTGTCTCTGTGGGCGTCAGTGATGTGGCTGTTGTCTGTGTTGGCGTCAGTGAGGTGGGTGTTGTCTGTGTGGGCGTCAGTGAGGTGGCTGTTGTCAGTGTGGGCGTCAGTGAGGTTGATGTTGTCAATGTGGGCGTCAGTGAGGTTGATGTTGTCATTGTGGGCGTCAGTGAGGTTGATGTTATCTGTGTTGGCGTCAGTGAGGTGGCTGTTGTCTCTGTGGGCGTCAGTGATGTGGCTGTTGTCTGTGTTGGCGTCAGTGAGGTGGGTGTTGTCTGTGTGGGCGTCAGTGAGGTGGCTGTTGTCTGTGTTGGCGTCAGTGAGGTTGATGTTGTCTGTGTGGGCGTCAGTGAGGTGGCTGTTGTCTGTGTGGGCGTCAGTGAGGTTGATGTTGTCTGTGTTGGCGTCAGTGAGGTGGCTGTTGTCTGTGTGGGCGTCAGTGAGGTTGATGTTGTCTGTGTGGGCGTCAGTGAGGTGGCTGTTGTCTGTGTGGGCGTCAGTGAGGTTGATGTTGTCTGTGTTGGCGTCAGTGAGGTGGCTGTTGTCTGTGTTGGCGTCAGTGAGGTTGATGTTGTCTGTGTTGGCGTCAGTGAGGTTGATGTTGTCTGTGTGGGCGTCAGTGAGGTGAGTGTTGTCTGTGTTGGCGTCAGTGAGGTGGCTGTTGTCAGTGTGGGCGTCTGTGAGGTGGCTGTTGTCAGTGTGGGCCTCAGTGAGATGGTTGTGTTTTCAGTGTGGGCGTCATTGAGGTACTTGTTGTCGGTCTGGGCCTCAGTGCTGTTGTCGGTGTTGGCGTCACACTTCAAATTGAGTCCACTATTTTGAGTGGGATTCATCAACAACCTTTAAACAACATATGGCGCTGTATATACTCAGGCAGTTTGTTTTCACGGCAAAACTTCACTCAGCATATGATAGACATTGACAAGCTTATAAGCACGATAACTTTGAAAGCTAACATGAGGTCGGCACCCGAAAGAAAACTTAACAAGTTTTGCAAAGCTGTCGTTCTACACCGTACGTCACCATTATGAAGCAAATGATACGACGTCACAGTCGTATATAGAAAAGCGGGAAATTCCAAGCTCTCTGTTGTCCTCAAAACTTATAATAATTCCCTTTGTATTGCCACACATCCTTAGAAGATTGTAATATCTGCAACTTTGCATTTTGTAATTATAGATATAATTATTTAAATCCGCCATGTCTGAAAAAGTACTCTTCTGTGAATATTAGCTTCCGCGGCGAGGCCGCCGTCAAACCAGGTGTTTCAATCAGAGGGAGTTTATTGTGATTTAATAGCCTCTGATTGACCATTCAGAAACGAGCAATTTCCAAATTCATGGAAGAATAATGAATACATGAATTGTAGTATTGCCACGGTCAGCAACATTCCTGCTGTGTCACTCTGTCTCCTGTAAATACTCGAGAGTGCAGAAGGCAAGTCAGCAATATAAAGCACGAACAGCGGCTCCCCGTGTGGGTGTACGTTGATATGACATCAACCAGCTGCTACAGCGTATGACTAACTCCACACTTCCTTTACAAAGATCGCGCCATCGACACTCAATCAGATCGCATTCAAGTTGTATCATGTGGATAGATCTAGCGATCAGTAACCTGAAATGTGTACACAAACAATTTCTGATGCACACATGGCACGCTTATCATTCGACTGGTTGAGGTTGAGTATAGTCCTGTTTGAAGATTATCTGAATGAGTGAGATGCTATGGTTGTTCATTATCACTATAAATGAACAATCAAAGAGTAGTGGAATATAAACTAAATACCTGAACTGAGTGGATACACAGAAGCGTGCGTACAATGTATCTATTGATGTCAACGAATCATTTTCCAAGTTGTCCCATGGCTACGAAATGTATAGTGTCTTATTTATTATAAATGTCGTTTTCAAAATCATACCCTTTGCTGAAATACGACATGAAAGAAAAAGTAGAAGGCGTTTCCGATACTTGACATATAATACACGGTTTGAGAGAAGAGAGCGAGTTGCCTTTGTTGAGTGTTGTGAAACACCGACATGAAAAGTTGAAGTAAATAAATGTTACGAAGTGGGACTATGTATTACAGTTGAGTAAATAACACACATAAGCAAAAGTTGCGTTATAAAATGTGTTTTTTGGTTGTTTAACGCCGCGCTCAAAACTATTCCAGCTATATGACGGTAGTCTGTTTATAATCGAGACTGGTACGCAATTCGGGTACGATGACATGTATAGACCAAATCAACGAGGTCTGATCGCCCGATCACGTGACATGGGTGGGTTTTAGGCAGATTTGAAAATTATTTTCGTTGCATCATGACATGTCCGCCTGATGTGGGGAGAAAGTCCGCATCAGTGAAAGTTACAAATTTGAACATTACAATTCCGTTATGTCATGGCATGTCCACTTTATGTAGTTTCAGATCACTGTGCATCCAGCCTCTGTGGAGGAACACTTGATGTAGCTTCAGATCACTGTGCATCCAGCTACTGTGGAGGAACACTTGATGTAGCTTCAGATCACTGTGCATCCAGCGTCTGTGGAGGAACACTTGATGTAGCTTCAGATCACTGTGCATCCAGCCTCTGTGGAGGAACACTTGATGTAGCTTCAGATCACTGTGCATCCAGCCTCTGTGGAGGAACAATTGATGTAGCTTCAGATTACTGTGCATCCAGCCTCTGTGGAGGAACACTTGATGTAGCTTCAGATCACTGTGCATCCAGCCTCTGTGGAGGAACACTTGATGTAACTTTAGATCACTGTGCATCCAGCTACTGTGGAGGAACACTTGATGTAGCTTCAGATCACTGTGCATCCAGCCTCTGTGGAGGAACACTTGATGTAACTTTAGATCACTGTGCATCCAGCTACTGTGGAGGAACACTTGATGTAGCTTCAGATCACTGTGCATCCAGCCTCTGTGGAGGAACACTTGATGTAGCTTCAGATCACTGTGCATCCAGCCTCTGTGGAGGAACACTTGATGTAGCTTCAGATCACTGTGCATCCAGCTACTGTGGACGAACACTTGATGTAGCTTTAGATCACTGTGCATCCAGCTACTGTGGAGGAACACTTGATGTAGCTTCAGATCACTGTGCATCCAGCTACTGTGGAGGAACACTTGATGAAGCTTCAGATTACTGTGCATCCAGCTACTGTGGAGGAACACTTGATATAGCTTTAGATCACTGTGCATCCAGCTACTGTGGAGGAACACTTGATGTAACTTTAGATCACTGTGCATCCAGCTACTGTGGAGGAACACTTGATGTAGCTTCAGATCACTGTGCATCCAGCCTCTGTGGAGGAACACTTGATTTAGCTTCAGATCACTGTGCATCCAGCTACTGTGGAGGAACACTTGATGTAGCTTCAGATCACTGTGCATCCAGCCTCTGTGGAGGAACACTTGATGTAGCTTCAGATCACTGTGCATCCAGCCTCTGTGGAGGAACACTTGATGTAGCTTCAGATCACTGTGCATCCAGCCTCTGTGGAGGAACACTTGATGTAGCTTCAGATCACTGTGCATCCAGCTAGTGGAGGAACACTTGATGTAGCTTTAGATCACTGTGCATCCAGCTACTGTGGAGGAACACTTGATGTAGCTTCAGATCACTGTGCATCCAGCTACTCCGGAGGAACACTTGATGTAGCTTCAGATTACTGTGCATCCAGCCTCTGTGGAGGAACACTTGATGTAGCTTCAGATCACTGTGCATCCAGCTACTGTGGAGGAACACTTGATGTAGCTTCAGATCACTGTGCATCCAGCTACTGTGGAGGAACACTTGATTTAGCTTCAGATTACTGTGCATCCAGCCTCTGTGGAGGAACACTTGATGTAGCTTCAGATCACTGTGCATCCAGCTACTATGGAGGAAGTTGCGGAAAACTGAAACGCATGATGTGGTAGGATGTGTGTCTGATGATTAAATGCAAGTGGTCGCCTTTAACATTAGACTGACGGTGAATGTGTGTAGACACATGGGTCGGGTGTAACATTAGACTGACGGTGAATGTGTGTAGACACAGGGGTCGGGTGTAACATTAGACTGACGGTGAATGTGTGTAGACACAGGGGTCGGGTGTAACATTAGACTGACGGTGAATGTGTGTAGACACAGGGGTCGGGTGTAACATTAGACTGACGGTGAATGTGTGTAGACGCAGGGGTCGGGTGTAACATTAGACTGACGGTGAATGTGTGTAGACACATGGGTCGGGTGTAACATTAGACTGACGGTGAATGTGTGTAGACACAGGGGTCGGGTGTAACATTAGACTGATGGTGAATGTGTGTAGACGCAGGGGTCGGGTGTAACATTAGACTGACGGTGAATGTATGTAGACACAGGGGTCGGGTGTAACATTAGACTGACGGTGAATGTGTGTAGACACAGGGGTCGGGTGTAACATTAGACTGACGGTGAATGTGTGTAGACACAGGTGTCGGGTGTAACATTAGACTGATGGTGAATGTGTGTAGACGCAGGGGTCGGGTGTAACATTAGACTGACGGTGAATGTATGTAGACACAGGGGTCGGGTGTAACATTAGACTGACGGTGAATGTGTGTAGACCCATGGGTCGGGTGTAACATTAGACTGACGGTGAATGTGTGTAGACACAGGTGTCGGGTGTAACATTAGACTGATGGTGAATGTGTGTAGACACAGGGGTCGGGTGTAACATTAGACTGACGGTGAATGTGTGTAGACACATGGGTTGGGTGTAACATTAGACTGACGGTGAATGTGTGTAGACACATGGGTTGGGTGTAACATTAGACTGACGGTGAATGTGTGTAGACACATGGGTCGGGTGTAACATTAGACTGACGGTGAATGTGTGTAGACAAATGGGTCGGGTGTAACATTAGACTGACGGTGAATGTGTGTAGACACATGGGTCGGGTGTAACATTAGACTGACGGTGAATGTGTGTAGACGCAGGGGTCGGGTGTAACATTAGACTGACGGTGTATGTGTGTAGACACAGGGGTCGGGTGTAACATTAGACTGACGGTGAATGTGTGTAGACGCAGGGGTCGGGTGTAGCATTAGACTGACGGTGAATGTGTGTAGACACAGGGGTCGGGTGTAACATTAGACTGATGGTGAATGTGTGTAGACACAGGGGTCGGGTGTAACATTAGACTGACGGTGAATGTGTGTAGACACATGGGTCGGGTGTAACATTAGACTGACGGTGAATGTGTGTAGACACATTGGTCGGGTGTAACATTAGACTGACGGTGAATGTGTGTAGACGCAGGGGTCGGGTGTAACATTAGACTGACGGTGAATGTGTGTAGACACAGGGGTCGGGTGTAACATTAGACTGACGGTGAATGTATGTAGACACAGGTGTCGGGTGTAACATTAGACTGATGGTGAATGTGTGTAGACACAGGGGTCGGGTGTAACATTAGACTGACGGTGAATGTGTGTAGACACAGGTGTCGGGTGTAACATTAGACTGACGGTGAATGTATGTAGACACAGGTGTCGGGTGTAACATTAGACTGATGGTGAATGTGTGTAGACACAGGGGTCGGGTGTAACATTAGACTGACGGTGAATGTGTGTAGACACAGGGGTCGGGTGTAACATGAGACTGACGGTGAATGTGTGTAGACACATGGGTCGGGTGTAACATTAGACTGACGGTGAATGTATGTAGACACAGGGGTCGGGTGTAACATTAGACTGACGGTGAATGTGTGTAGACACAGGGGTCGGGTGTAACATTAGACTGACGGTGAATGTGTGTAGACACATGGGTCGGGTGTAACATTAGACTGACGGTGAATGTGTGTAGACACATGGGTCGGGTGTAACATTAGACTGACGGTGAATGTGTGTAGACACATAGGTCGGGTGTAACATTAGACTGACGGTGAATGTGTGTAGACGCAGGGGTCGGGTGTAACATTAGACTGACGGTGAAAGTGTGTAGACGCAGGGGTCGGGTGTAACATTAGACTGACGGTGAATGTGTGTAGACACAGGGG